GCCACTAGATTCCAAGACCTGCTTTTCCTTTTGTAAGCATTACAGTAGTCACAGTACAAGGCTCCTCTTGTCCATCCCACAAGTCACCTCCTAAAACTATGTTTTGGATGGGGCAGCAGCATCACTCTTCCTGCTGGTGGGAATCTTGGTAGAGTTTGCTGTGATCCAGGGATGGAGAAGCACATCCTTCAGGGGCAGGCGATGGAAGGGGTTGTGCTTCAGGAGCCTGGAAATTAAATCCCTTGCACCTTCTGTTACAAATGGAGGAAACTTGAATTCCACCTAAGGAAAAAAAGACATGTAAAATTATGCAAAAGTTCTTTAGCAATAACCAAATGATAGAACCACTCAACCTCCAAGTTACCTTCTGAAAGCTGTGCCAGCCTTGCAGGCTCTGCACTTTCTGCCTATGGAGGTAAAATTATTTAATTGTAACCCTGAACAGGCTTCTCATTGCTTGTGAAAGTATTTGTATATTCTTGTTTTTTCATTATGTTTCAAACTTAAGTTTGTTGAAACCTTCTAGAACTAAAAGCATGACCCAGCTAATCCAGATAAGCACTGGCACTTACCCTGGAAATAGCTCTGTAGGTTTCTTGATAGGTTTCTGTTTCAAAAGGAGGTTTCCCTACAAGGAACTCGTAGCACAGAACTCCCAGACTCCAAATATCCACCTTTTCATCATGTGTTCTTCCCTCAATCATTTCAGGAGGCAGGTAGTCAAGTGTCCCACAGAGAGTTGTTCTCCTGAAGAAAAGTCCGAGTTAATCATTGATTAAGATAATTGGAGGATCTATTTCAAGAGTCAGATAAGAACTAATGCTGGCAATCATCTGTACCTCAGTGCAGTCCACCTGAATGGACTCAGCACCACCAGAACAGCTGGGAAAGAAACGCCAGCAGGACATTTTCTACTTCTACTGGAAGTATCTCAGTCCCTCAGTTTTAGCTTTCTTCCCCACACGTGCTAGAACAAACCTGTTCCTCCCTTCTCAGGTGCCATTTCCCACTCTTCTCAGAAATAACCAAATTGCCAGTGTAATGTCCAAGTCCAAGCGCAGGTTTGTCATCTCAGGGAGCACAGTAACCCTACACCAGCCTTCCTCTGAAGGTCAGCAAGGTTTGAACTAAAAACCAGGCGAACAACCCTCCTCTGTCACACCAGTTGCCTGTTAGGCCCTTTGTTATAGCAGCATTTTTCCCCAGTATTTCACGAGGTTCCCACATACCTTCCCTTCCACAACTGTGTGATAAAAACTGACACTACAGAAGGATTCCAGTGCACAAGAGTCTGAATTCTCACCTAGAAGATGGAGCATGCACAGACCACCCAAAGTCAGCAATTTTTAACTCTCCATTTGATCCTAGCAGCAAGTTCTCTGGCTTGATGTCTCTGTGGATCACACGCTTGGAGTGACAGTAGGAGAGGGCATCTGCAAGTTCTGTGATGTACTGGGTGCAGAAAGAATAATCTTTAAGATATTGTCACCTGAGTTTATCTGGCTGCAGCACAGCCTTTTGGAGCCATAATTATAATTTTAAATTAAAGCAATTATTCCTTAACACTTGAAGCCTGGCAATACAGGCTGTGCCTTGCAATATTAAGCAATTCTGAACATAAATTCCTGCACAGCCCTAACTCTTCCCAATTATTCCCTGCCCAGATGCCAACTAGCAGCTAAGGAATCTCAGTGTCCCCCAGCAGAATACAGAACTTGATCTGAAGAGCTGGCTCTATCTGCAGATATCCCAGATACAGGAATGGAGAGGAAGCTGGAACAACCTACAGTAGCAGTTCTTTGCTCATCGAACTTGCTGAGCCTCTGAAGCTCCCTGTAGACTTCCCCACGAGGTGCGTGCTCCAGGATCAGGTAGACTCTTGTCACATCATGGAAGTAGCCATATAATCTGAGAATGTTGGGGTGCCTGCAAAGAGATTTCAATGTTCTTCTGAACCAGGTGTTTGCCAAAGCCTTCAATTTCCCAATTTCCAACTTCATCCTGCTCCCTCCCACTTTTCAAGGCAAGCACAGGAATTTCAGCTCATCCGTGTTCCTTCAGCTCACAACACACAAAAACTTTATCATAAAGAAGAAACGTCATCATAACCAAGGTTACCTTGTTTATTTGGATGCAAACAAAGCAGAGTAAATAGTCACTGAACTTTACCTAAGATGAGACTGTATTTCCACTTCTCTTCGTAGTTGATGCTCTACACCAGCTTCCTCAAGCTGTGTTTTAAAGAGCACTTTCAGTGCAAGAATAAATTTGCTCTGTTTTTCACGTGCCAGGTACACATTCCCAAATTTTCCTTTCCCCAGAGGACGACCAATTTCAAAATCATCAAGGGACCATTGCCTTCTGCAAGAGGAAAGTTAAAAGCTGGATAGTTGTGTTGGATTTGACTCAAATTTTCAGTTTATAACATTCCTGTTCAAGAGATGCTTAGTGCTCTAAACTAGATTTTAGTCTTTAAGAAAACACCAAGAGAACAAAGGCATTGAGATTTTTCAAAAGGAAGCTGTGAAAACTATTTTCTTTCCTCCTGAAGCTTTGGCAGACACTACACCAACCACACTACTACAAAATGAAGACTGTTTACCAAGCTGGGCTCCTTCAGATACTCCTAAGCCAGACACATCACCTGGGCATGGCAAAACAATTTAAAGTTGCCATAAACAAATCCAGTTTCATCCCAAAATAGACTCCAGCCTCCTGCCCAGATGAAGGAGGCTTTGTTTTCAGGAGTACATCTAGTGATTGAGGCAGCAGTGTTCTCCCGTGGGAAAAGCCACTCTGCACTTAGCTCAAAGTTTTCTTTAGATTACAGCAAGTCCTTGTTCCTGACAATTATCAGGTCAAAGGCTGCTTTTCCTTGTGGGGTGTCTGCAAAGCGTGGGGGTCACCAGGCTCCACAGCCAAAGGAGCTCCAGCAGGGCTCAGTTATCCGGAATTCAGGCACAAAACTTACTTTTTAGTCTCTTCACTTTTCTTCTTGGTCTCTTCAGTTTTCTGTTTAGAGGTGCTTTCTGCTTCAGGATTTTGTGCTGTGTACAGAGAAGGAAATCAGTTAGTGAACCAGACTCATGGGCACACACACAGGAACAAATCTAACCCCTGTGCATCATCTGAAGCAGTTTTTAGAATCCATTCAAAGACATTTTAAGCAACTAGCATGGCTGACTGCTAGAGAAGAAACAGTGCTGGCAAAATGCAATTCTAAAAGCTTATGGAGCATAAAACTCCATGAATTCTTTCCCCTTCCCCAAACAAAAGTATCCCTGGGCACTTGGAAAACCTGTGAAGTCTGAATGCAAATGACAATAACTCCGAGCTGTCTGCTGAGCACCTACAAGTTTTTAACACCATAATGTCCCTAATTTATCTCTGTTAATTTAGAGGTAAATTCATAAGGATGGTGCAGTAACACCCGAGGTGAACCACGTGCTGCTTTTCTGTTTGGGGGCACAACCAAGAACTTCCCTGCAGGACTGCCCCTGGATCAGCAGCAGCTTTAGGAGTATCCTGAGTGTCACAGCTGTAATCACACGAAATCATCCTCAGAATTACCAGGTGCTGCAGCCTGGGGAGGTTTCTCACTGCCCTTGCTTGCAACCTGAGGTCTCACAGCGGCCTGCTGGGGCACTTTGGGTCGGAGCTGCTGCGCTGGTTGGTCGCTGGGTTGTTTTTGGGTGGACAGAACAGGTTTTTGGGGTTGCACAGGGACTCGCTGGGCGAAGTTTGCAGGACACAGAACTCGGGCTGGAGCTCCACTGGTCAGTGAGCGGCTCTGGGCTGAGTGCTGCGACACGGGGACGCGTCTGGGGGCATCCCCGATGGGATTGGCGACCTTCAAAGAGAAAGGAGAAGGCGTTAATTGTGCAACAGCACAGCACAACCCTCATGGCCCCATTCAGGATGGCACAGCCACACAAAAGCACTTCAACAGAAACACTAAAAATCATGTATTTAGTTGATTAAAAGAAAATTTTGCTTATGCTGTTCCAAAAACTTATCAGGTCTATTTGGCTTTATATAAAATACTGAGAAAGTGCCTGTATTTCTAAATAGAAAAAATACAATAATAAGGGTGATCTTGAGCACTGCTGCACATGTACAAAGTACTTGCTTTTAAAAACTGTATGTAAAATAATTTGATAATACTTTCTCTTTAAGGGCTCTTAAATACTTGCAATATAAGGAGGATTTCCCCATTTAATAAGATACACTAATATTAACAATAATTTTAAAAATCACCTCTGGTCTCTGTTTTCTCTAGGAGAGAGGTACTGAAAGATATATTACTAATTAATATGCGATGGGGAGAAACAAACCCACCAAGTAAAGACTAAAAACCACCACTCCCCGAACCGAGCAGAATTTTAATGGCAAACCTCCACACATAGAGCCAAGGATGCAGCAGAGGAAATTGCTCAGGACGAGGAACATAAACCGCGTATTTCACACCTTTACCTTGGCGGCGCGGCCGGGGCAGGCGGCGTGGTTCTCCTTCATGTTCCTGTCCATAGCGCCAGAGCGGGAGCGGCCCGAGCGGCTCTGGCTGAGGGCGAGAGGGAGCCAGCGGGGCTCAGCGAGCGGAGCACAGGAAATGGCGGGTCCCTTATCAATCCCCACTGTTTATCGGCAGAGATCCATCACCGATTCCCCCTGCCCGCCCTCAGGCCCGGCGCTCGGCGCGGAGCCGCCGCCTCAGGGCCGCCGGAGCTGTTTGAATTCAAACCGCCGCGCCTTAAATACCCCTTTAAACCCCCGCCGCCCGCCATTGGCCGCCCTCCCGCGGCCCGCGCACGCTGATTGGCTCTTCCCGCGGGCGGCCCGCTCGCCTATTGGTTACCAGGCGCGCTCCGCCGCGCCGCGAGGGGCGCACGCGCCTCGCCCCTCCACCGGCGTTGTCGCCGTGCGGCGCGTTACGCACTTTGCGTAGCGCCGCGCCGCCCCCCCCACCCCGGCGCGCGCCGCCCGCGCACTTCCCGCCGGGCCGAGCCGCCGCTTCCGCTACGCAAATCGCGTAACGCGCCGCGCTCCCACCTGTGGCCGCCGCCGCCTCCGCTCCGCTCCGCGCCCCGGGAGCGCCGCCAGGTCAGTCCCGCTCCCGCCGGACTCCCCCCCGAATCACCCCCACCCACCCCCGGGCGAGGCCGGGCAGCGGCGCTGCCGCCAGCGCGCGTGGGGCCGAGCGCCAGCGGGGCCATTGTGTGCGTGCCCCCCCCGGACGGGCCGAGCAGGGCCGGAGCCTCCCCGGTGCGGCCCCGGGCAGCGCCACGTGCGGCAGCGCTTCAGGGCGAGCGCCGAGCGCCAAGGCACCGCCCGGCCCGGCCCGAGCGACCCGCGCACCCCTTGGAGGCGGCGGGACAGCGGCAGCGCGGCCGCTCAGCGAACGCGGCCCGCGAGCAGCGCAGCGAGCGCGGCGTGAGGCGCTGCCGCCCCGCGGGTCCCCGCGAGGAAAACTCCGCTCGGGGCTTGTGAAGAACTGCGAGCCAAGGCACTGAAAAGTTCACTGTCTCCGCGGTGCTGAAAACAAGAGCGAAGGAGAGCCTGGTTGTGTGTGTCGGTGTTTACAAGTGGTTCAGGATAGGTAAAAAGAAGATGTCGGGTCGCCGTGTCGCTGCAGCGTGTGACAGACGACAGCTGCCCCGGGGCATGGGGGGCATGGCAGCCCCGCTGCTCGACCCGCGCCCGCTCCGCCTGCCCTTCCTCGAGGCTGACGTGAGTAGCACTCGGGGCGGGGACGGTTTGCGCCGGGGCCGGGGCCGGGCCCGCCCGCAGCGCTGCTGGGCAGCCGCGCCAGCCGCTTCATTCCCAGCCCGTTCACGTCGCCGTGTTTGGGATCCGGGCGCTGGCGGAAGCGGCGCTCCGGAGCTTTGCGGCTGCGACACAAAAGAAGCCCCGGGCTCACCCCCCGCGCCCGCCGGGGGCCGGGCCCGCGCCGCTCCCCCGCCCCGAGAGCGGCTCCGCGGCCTTCCCCGCGCCCCGCTGGCCCCGGAAGGGGAACGGGGGATGGACCCTCGGCGTGCCCGGAAGGGAGGGATGGGGAGGGAGAACGGGCAGCGGGACCCCCGGGATCCCTGAAAGGGAGAATGGGCAGCGGGACCCCCGGAATGGGCTGAGTGGAGAGACTGGAAGGGGAGAAATGGGGAGAGGGATCCTCCAGGACCCCCGGGAGGGGGAACAGGGAGAAAGACCCCGGGATCCCCCGGGGGGGAGTGGGGATTTGGGATCGGGACCCCCTGAGCGCGATTGGGACCCCCGGAGAGGGATTGGGGATCGAGACCCCCGAAGCGCGATATGGAAGGGGGATCGGGACCCCCGAAGCGGAATCGGGGCTCCGGGGACCCCCGAGGGGGGATCGGGACTCCCAAGAAGGATCGGGGACCGGGACCCCCGGAGCGGGATCGGGGATGGGAACCCCAAAGCGGGATCGGGACCCCCGAGCGGGATCGGGGATGGGAACCCCAAGGCGGGATCGGGCCCCCCGGAGCGGGATCGGGGACGGGACCCCCGGAGCGGGATGGGGGATGGGAACCCCAAAGCGGGATCGGGACCCCCGAGCGGGATCGGGGATGGGAACCCCAAAGCGGGATCGGGACCCCCGAGCGGGATCGGGGATGGGAACCCCAAAGCGGGATCGGGACCCCCGGAGCGGGATGGGGGATGGGAACCCCAAAGCGGGATCGGGCCCCCCGGAGCGGGATCGGGCCCCCCGGAGCGGGACCGGAACCCCCAGAACGGGACCGGGGGTCTGTCCCCCCGCCCCGGGGGGGGTCCCTCCGCCGTGACGGGGGGGGTGTGGCGCTGCCGTGACGCCGCCCCGTTGTGCCGTTCCCCCCCCCAAGAGCCGCCTCCCATCGATGTGCGGGCGCTCGATGCAGCAGCCTTCGCGGAGGAGCGTCCTGCGGGCCCGGCCGCCCCCGCCGCTGCCGCCGCCGCCGCTCGATGCGCTCCGCGCGCCCGCCGCCATCTTAGGGGCAGAGCGCGGGCGGCAGAAGGAAGGCTCGGTACGTACCGGCACCGCCCGCACCGCGGCCCCGGCACCGCCCCGCGCGGGCTGCGGGCCGCCGGCAGGGCGGGGAGGGCGCGGGGCGGGCGGCGGGGCCGGCGCGGGGCTGTCGTGCGCGCTCCGTGCATCCATCCATCCATCCATCCTCGGCAGCCCGGGCCCGCCGGCAGCACCGGCCGGCGCGCTCGGCTCGTGCTGCCGGTCCGCTGCCGCTCAGCGAGTGCGGGCGGTCTGCGGCCGAGCTTTGCAGGCACACAGAAAGCCAGCGCAACAGGTTTCTCCTCCCCTTTTCCTTCCCTTTCCCCCTTTTCCGTCCCTGTTACCTCCCCCTTTTCCTCCCGTTTGCCTCCGCTTTCTCCCCTGTCTTCCTTCCCTTTCCCAAGTCTTGTCCTTCCCTTTCCCAAGTCTTTTCCTCCCCTTTCTCAAGTCTTTTCCTTCCCTTTTCTTTCCTTTTCTCCCGTCTTTTCCTTCCTTTTCTCCCTTCTTTTCCGTCCTTTTCTCCTGTCTTTTCCATCCTTTTATCCTGTCTTTTCCGTCCCTTTCGCCTGTCTTTTCCTTCCCTTTCTCCCACCTTTCCTTCCCCCTTTCCTCTTATTTCTCTCCCTTTTTCCTCCTCTTTCCCCCCTACTTTCCTCTCCCCATCTTCCTTCCCTTTCTCCCACCTTTTCTTCCCCCTTTCCTCTTATTTCTCTCCCTTTTTCCTCCTCTTTCCCCCCTACTTTCCTCTCCCCATCTCTGCTTTTCACCAAAACCACAGCAATATTTGGTGCCTGCCCTGAGATTTGTTCCAAGGTTCTGGTGGTTTCGTGCGACTCTCTTGTATGTGATTTCTGTTCTTCATTCCAGGCCCCCCCAAGGCAGTCCCTGCTCACAATGTATAGGACAAAAGTCAGTTTGAAAGATCGTCAGCAACTTTACAAACTGATAATTAGCCAGCTGCTCTATGATGGATACATCAACATTGCCAATGGCTTGATAAATGAGATCAAACCACAGTCTGTGTGTGCACCCTCTGAACAACTGCTGCACTTAATTAAGTTAGGTAAGCTGGAATCAAAAGCTGACATAAAAGTCTAGTTTCTAATTCCCCACCGAAGTAAGAGGTTGGTGTCCATGGAAGGACACCTCTGATGCAAAGGTGGTGTCTGGTAATAGCACAGCACTTGTACATCTGGGTACAGCCTTTGCCTCTGTGGGGTTATGAAGGGCATTCCTGTTTGATTAACAGCAAACCAGATCCCTGAGTGTTGCCCAGATCTGTTTGAACTCCTCTAAGGACACTCGGGGTTCTGGGTGAGTGGCAGCCCTCTCAAAACACCCCAGTGAATGGGATCACTGAGCCCCCAGATCTGAAGGAAAATCTCAGCCTTATAGTTCTGCTGACTTGAGAAAGAAACAATTCCTGTCTGGTTGTTCCTGGCAGTGTTGGAGAGGGAGCAAGTCCTTCCCTTGGCAATCCTTGCTGGCTTTTATAGATCAGTCCCAGGAAACAGCTGCACACTCTGGGGTCTCAGCAGGGCTGTCACCTGTTCTCTCCCTGTACTTCCCTCTGGAAGTGCCACAGTGTGGGGAGAACAGGGAAAACCCCTGAGCTGCTCTTGGAACAAGCTGACCAAGTCCTGGAAGGAGCTCTGGCCATGACACCATGTGTAACTCAACTGGTTCTGCTGCCTGAACTAGCTGAGTTCTGAGGGTATAAGTCTGTGAAGCTTTGTGTCTGTTTGAAGTGCAAATTCTAAACTTGAAATGAGCAGATGAAAGCAGCAAAAAGATCACCACTGGGCTGAAAACTCTTGTGTCTGCTCTGTTGCCACCTCCAGGCTGAACTCTAGTCTGTAACTGGATCTTGAAAATAAAGATAAAAGTCTTGGAAGTGGGCTTGAAGACCAGCAAGTTTTTTCTCTTGCAGTGCTGGGACAGTATGGCTTCAGAGCAAATAAATAGGAAAAGAATCAGTAAATACTTTTGGTTTTTTACTTTAAAACTCATGTAATAGTGTTGGAGCTTATTGCTCCTCTGTGAAAAGCCGACCAGAGGCCTGTGCGTGGTCAGTGACTGATTTCCCAGTCCTCACTGGGGGTATTCCCAGAGCTCCTGAGGATCTGAGCCTGCTCCGGTGCAGCCCATCTCCCTCACTGCTCCCCAGTGCTGTGTGACCCACCCTGCTCTGCCAGCTCAGCTCTCCCCCAGGACTGCCTTTCCCAAACCTTCCCTGGAGCCGTGGCAGGCTGAGGGGAGGGCTGCCAGCCCTGAGTGCCACCCTGCTGTCCCCAGGCATGGAGAACGACGACAGCGCTGTGCAGTACGCCATCGGCCGCTCGGACACGGTGGCGCCGGGCACCGGCATCGACCTGGAGTTCGACGCCGACGTGCAGACCATGTCCCCCGAGGCCTCCGAGTACGAGACCTGCTACGTCACCTCCCACAAGGGGCCCTGCCGCGTGGCCACCTACAGCAGGGACGGGCAGCTGATCGCCACCGGCTCGGCCGACGCCTCCATCAAAATCCTGGACACCGAGAGGATGCTGGCCAAGAGCGCCATGCCCATCGAGGTAAGGGATTGTGACTGCACTGGGAATTGTGTTCATGCCATGCCCATCGAGGTAAGGGATTGTAACACTCTGGGAATCCTGTCCATGCCATGCCCATTGGGATAATGAATTGTAACACTCTGGGAATCCTGTCCATGCCATGCCCATCGAGGTAAGGGATTGTGACCACACTGGGAATTGTGTTCATGCCATGCCCATCGAGGTAAGGGATTGTGACTGCACTGGGAATTGTGTTCATGCCATGCCCATCGAGGTAAGGGATTGTGACTGCACTGGGAATTGTGTTCATGCCATGCCCATCGAGGTAAGGGATTGTGACTGCACTGGGAATTGTGTTCATGCCATGCCCATCGAGGTAAGGGATTGTAACCACACTGGGAATTGTGTTCATACCATGCCCATTGGGATAATGAATTGTAACACTCTGGGAATCCTGTCCATGCCATGCCCGTTGGGATAATGAATTGTAACTACTCTGGGAATTGTGTTCATTGGGATAATAGGCCTGGGAATCTGGGAATTCTGTCCATGCCATGCCCATCAAGGTAAGGGATTGTAACCATGCTGGGAATCCTGTCCATGCCATGCCCGTTGGGATAATGGATTGTAATCCCTTTTGGTATCCTGTCCATTCCATGCCCATTAGGATAATGAATTGTAATCACTCTGGGAATATCCTCTCCATGCCATTCCCATTGGGATAGTGGATTGTAACCACTCTGGGAGTTCTCTCCATGCCATATCTGTGCCTTGTGGCCGCCTCAAGTGGGTTGGACTAAATACCTGTCTCAACATATTGCCTACTCCATAGAAGGAGGAAGAGCCAGGGCAAGGACACTGGTGTCACCCTTGGCAGCAGGGAGAGAGCTGAGCCAGAAGTGGCTTCTTCTGGGTGCTGATCATGGCTGTAATGTCTGAGCACAGTTCATGCTAAACCCATGGGGCCTCTGCAGCCCCCATGGCCGCCTGTGTTTTCACTGGTTATTTCAGAACTGTTTTACACATTGATGTGCTTTATCTTTCTCCAAGGCAGTTATCAGGTGGCAATGAAAAGTGGGATTTTTTTGCACAGAGCACACGCCAAGTTCTCAGCAGAGAGCTGCAGTTTTGGTGCAGCTTCTCTCGATTCTTCCAGCAGTCAGTGTTTTGCTTTGGGCTGTTTATGAAGGTGGTGTTTTCTTGCTACTGAAGTAGTTTGTCCTTGAGCCAAGTTGTTTTGACCTTCATAAAAACACAGGGATCTTATTTGTTGACCTACAAAGGGCCTTCAGATAACCAAGGGAACAGATTGTGTGTCTGGTTGTGTTAGAGAGGAGCTGCAGTTCAGCCACTCTGGCAAGCCTAAAACCTACTTTTCCTGTCAAAAATCTGCTTTATTTTCCAAGAGCAGCAACATGTTGAATGTTCTTTGTAGGTCATGATGAATGAGACAGCACAGCAGAACATGGAGAACCACCCTGTGATCCGGACTCTGTACGATCACGTGGATGAAGTGACGTGTTTAGCTTTCCACCCAACAGAACAGATCCTGGCATCTGGCTCAAGGGACTACACACTTAAATTGTTTGATTATTCAAAACCTTCTGCCAAAAGAGCCTTCAAATACATCCAGGTGAGATACTGCTCAGGGCAGCCAAAGCTCAGATGTCTGAGTGCTGAGGTGGTGTGAGCTGAGCTGTGCCTCAGGAGGGTGCAGGAGCACACAGGTACAACATTTGCAGACATTACAGAGATTGTGTCTTAATTCTGTGCATCACAGATACTTGTAGTTAAGTCGAGAACCTGTCAGCTTTTTATTCATTAGACCAACTCTAATCTGAATTAATTTGGAAGTAAATTCTGTTATCTTTGATTTGGAGGAGCATTTGGGATTAGCTGGTGGGCTTGAGGGGGTGTGATATCCTAAAATAAGGGGGCACTGCTGGGTGATCTAGGACAAGAACTACAGTATGGCCACAGGCAGCCTATCATTTCAATCCCACAGGAAACATTTTCTATTTGCTGATAATAATAATAATATGGAAACATCTTCCATATGCTCATAATAATAATATGGAAACATCTTCCATATGCTGATAATAATAATATGGAAACATCTTCCATATGCTGATAATAATAATATGGGAACATCTTCCATATGCTGATAATTCCAGTAGGTTTTTAGCACCACCAGCACCGACCCTTCCAGTTCAGCTTTTTTCCTTCCTCACCCCGCCATGTGTTTTGACTCCAACAGGAAGCAGAGATGTTACGTTCCATTTCTTTCCACCCTTCTGGAGATTTCATCCTGGTAGGGACCCAGCACCCAACCCTTCGTTTGTACGACATCAACACCTTCCAGTGCTTCGTGTCCTGCAACCCCCAGGACCAGCACACCGACGCCATCTGCTCCGTCAACTACAACGCCAGCGCCAACATGTACGTGACAGGCAGCAAGGATGGCTGCATCAAACTCTGGGATGGCGTCTCCAACCGCTGCATCACCACCTTTGAGAAGGCACACGATGGAGCTGAAGTGTGTTCTGCTATTTTTTCCAAAAATTCCAAGTATATTTTGTCCAGTGGGAAAGACTCTGTGGCTAAGCTCTGGGAGATATCCACTGGTCGGACGCTGGTGAAATACACAGGTATGTGACACCTTCTTTTCCAGGTGCTGAGCCATGGCAGGGTTGGAAATGCTGTCAGAAAATAAAAATTCCTAAAGACAATGGAGAAACTGCTGCTTTGAGGATGAATTGCCCAAAATTTTTGAAAACATTTCCATTAGACCAATTCCGGAAGAGAAGCTGTGATTCTGTGTGTCAGTGTAAACATATTTTAGTCTGAGTAGATCGTGGAGAATTTTCTGACATCATTACTCACTTCATTGTTCTGGAGGGAAATTATCCCTGAACTGAGGGAAAGTAAGAAGAAACACTGAAGCCACTTTAGGGCAGTTGATTTAAGCATTAACTCTGTGGCTCTATAGCCATGGCAATACTCTGAAATGTACGCTTTGTTCCCTTTTTTGTGTATTTTTTTTCCCAAGGATGCAGTTATATGCAAGGTAGTCATCCTTGGAGCATGCTGACAGTGCCATGCTTGGATCTCAGCAACAATTAGGGAATAATGAAGGCTGTGGAAGTTTTGCATGTGACAACAGCTGTGTGTGAGGCTTTGGGATCAGGCACTGATGTGCTTAAGCAGTAGGAGCACAGAAGATGCTGGAAATAGTGTGTGTCAGGTTTTGGGGTCTGTAGGTCCCTTTGTGCAGTCCAGCTCTCCTGCTGCCGGCCAGCAGGGAGCAGCAGCTTCCCGGGAAACGCGGGCAGGATCCCGGGGAGCATCCGTGCAGTGCCCTGGCTCTGTGGGAAACACATCCTACCTGAAGGTATGGCCAAGGAGCTCATACAGCATGTGCTGTGTGAGAAATACTCTGAAAAGTCCTCAGGGATCAGCAGACTCTGTGCCTCCTCTCTGTGTTCTTTCTCCTTGCTCACAGCTGAAAGCCTCTTGCAAAAATATCAGGCAGAAATACTCTTAGGTAAAGGATTGGACATGGCACAGCTGGAGTAGGTATTCTTTCTGTCCCCTGAGGAATTTTAGAATATATATATGGACAGCAGGAGGAATTTCCCCACGGAAGGGGTGGACAGGCCTTGGCAGGGGCTGCCCAGGGAGGTTTGGAGGTGTCCAAGGAACACCTGGAGGTGGCACTCAGTGCTCTGGGCTGGTGACAAGGTGGGGATGGAGCAGAGGCTGGACTCAAATCTTTCTGGTCCTGTGGTTCAGCTGCAAAGGAATATTTGTTACTGCACCACCTGTTGCTTGTGGAAAATCGATAGAAAATTGCTAGTTACAGAAAATGATTCCTAGCTATGAAAACTTGTAAAAGTCCCAATTCTGCTGCTGTGTTTAGGTGCAGGTCTGAGTGGGCGCCAGGTGCACAGGACTCAGGCTGTGTTCAACCACACAGAGGATTACGTGCTGCTGCCAGACGAAAGGACCATCAGCCTGTGCTGCTGGGACTCCCGGACTGCGGAGCGCAGGAACCTCCTGTCCCTGGGCCACAACAGCATCGTGCGCTGCATCGTGCACTCCCCCACCAACCCCGGCTTCATGACCTGCAGCGACGACTACAGGGCCAGGTTCTGGTACAGGAGGTCCACCACAGACTGAGGGGAGCTCTCCAGCAGCAATCCCAGCTCCTGCTCCCTGTGTGATGGTGCTGCTGCCTCCGGGGAAGCTGTGCTGGGCCCCTTTGGATTCTGTCAGACGTGGCAGGAATGTAACAAATATTGAGACTCTTCACCCCACACTAATTTTTTTTATTAGTGTGCGTGGTTTAATTTTTGTAAGTCATCTCTAATTGTACTGAAGGGAGGGGGTGGAGAATAAAATGGTCCTGGCAGAAAGGGCTAAGCTTGTTCCCCCTGCCTGTGAATCACACACAAGGTAATGGGACTGTGTCCTCTCAGAAGGAGCCAGTTCTGCTCTGTGTCGTGTCTGTGCAATCCCACTGAACTCTGCTAGAGAATAGATCACACAAAGAGCAGCAGAACTTGGTGTAGAAACTTCAACGAAGCCTTAAGCTGCCTTCAGCCACAATTCATTGTTTGTAAAGCTCTGGTTTGTATCTTTCAGTCTGGGGTTTTGGTGAATTCTTTTTTGTGGTTTTTGTTCATTGGCCAAGTAGGCCTTCAGTTCTCAGTTGTGCCATAAGAATTCAAACAGGATTTTTAATTGTTTAGATGAATTCAAGAAACGGTTTTCTAGTTCTTGTGTTAAAGTCAGACTTCATCTCATCCTCTTTTGAATTTATCTTAACAAGTGGGACCTCAAAACAAATTCCTAATAATTTTAAGGAATATCCACATTGCAATTAAAATGTGACAGTGCTGCTGCAGGTGAAAACAAGAATAATTTTGCCTTAGAGACCTTTAATATCCTCTCAAAGAAAGAAACTTGTGCATCTGAACTTTTGTATGTGTACCTCAGAAATGTCACTGAGAAATCTTCATCTATGTCTGTTACACAGCACTTGAATTACATTCTTTTTTAATTAGTCACAAACCCAGTGCCCATCGTTGAGAAACTGTGCTTACAACTTCTCTGAGTTGGAAGATTCACTACTTATTCTCCCAGAGATCTGCCTGAGCAGAGTCTTAAACTTGTTTTTTGAGGCCGCCTCGTGCAGAGCTCTTGGGCATCACAGCTGGGAGGTTCCTTTGGTCAGAGCTCAGCACTTGCCTTTGTGAGGGTGTTTAAGTGTGAGGTGGTTCTTGCTGCTGGATTAATTTCCATTACACTGAGGAATTGTCAAGGGCTGGTGAGGGTACAGGTTTTGTCTGTATTTAAATAAAGATTGCCTTTTAAAAAGCTCTTTGATACATAAAGAAGGAATTGTATTTATTTTCTGTATAACAAAGGAGAAATGGTCAAATATGGGAGGCTGGGGCTGGGGGACTTTGGAATGATGCATTTGATGTGTTCCACCTGAATCAGGTACAATTACATACTCAAAATGTGGAATGTGGGAGATTTTTATTTAAATAATGAAATTTATTTTTCTCTTGAAAAGCTCCCTCTATGCAAAACATTTCTGAGGCTTAATCCTCATTGTTCCTCCTCTGCCTCTGAGTTTGTGACCCTTCAGAAGCAGTGGTGCTGAGGGATAGTGGTGCTGGTGGCCTTTTTGGTGGAGAAACAAGAAGGAGCAGAGCTGGGGGCAGGGAAAAGGGAAGTCCTGACACAGTCACTGAGGCGTGATGTGGGATGGGTGACAGCCGTGGCTTTTTTATTTTTGGAGTGCCACCTTTTTTGTTTTTTTCATTCTGCTGAAGCACCTGTCTGTAATTCATGCACTTGGTGGTGTTTGGAATCTGCTTTTAAACCCTCTGTTTGTGGCTGATGTGTTAAAGCAGCGCTGTGGTTGTGAACAGTGGGAGCTCTCACCTCAAGCTTCTGCACTTCTGGGGGCTTGAACTCAGAGTGAGAGCAAAAAGTTCCTTTTTTAACACAAAACCATCCTGCCATTGGCACCCTGCTGCCTTTCCATATCCTGGACATCCTCCTGAGGCCATAAAGTTGGTGGACTGCTGTGGAAGAAAGAAGGGCTGGGAAAAGTGACGGAGAAAATGCAAAATTCAGTGTGCAAAGCCGGGTTGGATGGGCTTGGAACAACCTGCTCTGGTGGAAGGAGTGAGGTGGTCCTTAAGCCCCTTCCAAGCCAAACCATTCCCTGACTCTGGAAGCACTTTTCCCTGGAGGTGCTTTGAATTGCTGTCTCCTGCTGCTGTGAGAGCCGGGAGCAGCTGGCAGTGCCACCCTGCAGCGCTGGCACCGGGGCAGGGCTGTCTTATCGACAGCCCCAGCCCTGCTCTCACTGCTGCAAAAGAGGAAACGGGCACAGGGCTCAGCTTCCCACTGCTCAGCTGCGACAACTTGGTGCAGGAAGACCAAGGAAAATCCCACTCCACGCTTCATTTTCTCACTTCCAGTGGCCAAAAGGGCTTTTTTTTTTGGGTTTTATTCTGCCCTCCTTTTATCTCCTGTTGTCTCAGATGGTATCTCACACGAGGACCTTGTCTCCGGGCTGCGAGGGGCAGAGCTGTCGGATGGACGTGGCTGAGGGGAGTTCCCCACACGCAGCGCCTGGGCAGGGCTGAAGCGTCCCCGTCCCACCGTGGCTCTGGTGCTCCAAGTGCAGGATGACAACAATGGATGCGAGCCCAAGGAGCAACACAGCTGCAAAGGTAGGTCTGAATTTTGGGTAGGGAATGGCTTGGTGTTTGAATTCAGTGGGGTTTTTGGTGATGTTGGAAGTAGAAATGATGAGACCCATCCGGTTCTTGTCCTTCATGGCCAGAGAGCTCTGGAGGGGCTGGAGCGTGTCCAGGGCAGGGAATGGAGCTGGGAAGGGGCTGGAGAATCCCTGAGGGAGCTGGGAAGGGGCTGGAGAATTCCTGAGGGAGCTGGGAAGGGAATGGAGAATCCCTGAGGGAGCTGGGAAGGGAATAGAGAATCCATGAGGGAGCTGGGAAGGGAATGGAGAATCCATGAGGGAGCTGAGGGGGCTCAGCCTGGAGCAGAGGAGGCTCAGGGGGCCCTTGTGGCTCTGCACAGCTCCTGCCAGGAGGGGACAGCCGGGGGGATTTGGGATCATCCCAGGGAACAGGGACAGGAGGAGAGGGAACAGCTCAGGCTGGGCCAGGGGAGCTCAGGGTGGAACCAGCAGGAATTTCCCCATGGAAAGGGGGTCAGGAATTGGAGCTGCCCAGGGAGGGTTGGATGCCCATCCCTGGAGGTGCCCAAGGAGGTGGCACGCAGATCTCTGGGCTGGGGACAAGGAGGGCATCAGGCACAGCTTGGACTCGGTGGTCTCAGAGGTCTCTGCCAACTTCAGTGCTCCTGTGGTTTGTGAAGTTTGGGTTCCCATCTCGGGGGGACTGAAGGCTCCTGTGCCTGATGTCCTCCTGTGCTTCTCATGGTGACAAAACCAGTGACCGGGAGGGATGGCAAGGATCCTGGATAAAGCAGAAGTGAAAACAAACAAAAAAAATACCTGGAAGTAAGCACATTTGTGAAATTATAAACATATAATTCAGGGTTCCACCTTACTGCTGTGCTGCAGTGACATTAGAGACACAGATCCTTTCTTTGCCAGAGACTTTCAGTGACAGCCCTGGCGCCCTCTTGCATGACATGATTTCTTTATGTTACATGCAAACCAGAAAACATTTTGAAACCCTCTGTGTTCCTATTTTGAAAGACTGGACCCAGTGTATCAGGTTTGTTACATTTATTTCTGTATCCACATTCCATCTAGATTAATTTTCTATAGATTAGAGGCCCTGCTGCAGCTGTAAGGGTTGGAGAATGCTGAAATCTTGATTCAGTCAATGCCTTGCTGTCCTGCTCTCTGCAAGCCTAATAAGTGTACTGGAATTAGGGTTTTCATCGTGGATTATGATCTCAGTGTTTGCTGTAAATAAACTGCCTCCTGGAAATTTAATAGAAAATGTAGTGGGGAGGAAAAGCTCAGTGAGTCATTTTCTTACACTACAAGTTTTCCATGAATGCTTGTAAAGATTAGGGGGCTACTTTTCCCATTGAGTCATCAGTTACTGAGGCAGGACATTTGTCATCTCTATACTGAAGAATTTCCTATTTCCACATATATTTCCAGTTCACTTGAGTGGATTGTCAATAAATCAATGTAATGGTAGCAAACCGATTACCTGTTCTGCTATGAGCACTTTAGGCATGGTCAGAGCCCACCCAGTCCACTTCAGCTGAGTAACAAAACCCAAAATTATTTCTGCAACATCACTTATGAACTGTTCATAAGTCCCCTACCACCTTGGCAGTACAGTTTATGATGATACTTGAATGACATAAAAATACAAAGGGTTTTTTTCTGCTCTTTGGACTCCTCGAAGCACCAACCCTCAGCAGCGTTTCTGTGGCAGGAAATGCTCTGCAATTATCCCTGTGCCCCAACCATTGCACCTGCAGGGGAAAAACCCTCTGAAAACCATTTCAGGCTGAGCTGAGCCAGGTTGATGTTTGTTTGTTGTTGTGTATCCAGGGGTGCCACAGGAAGCGTTGCAGCCCTTGCTGCAATTTCAAACCCCTGTGAGCTCCACGGGCTCCTGCAGTGGGACAGCTTCAGCTGAGCTGAAACACGGATGAAGAATTAAACTCTACAATTCTAATAGAGATTTGTAGGGAATGGGTGTGTTTATTCACAGTGCTGTGGATGCGTGTTGGGGCTCATTGCTCTTTAATGGACATGGGTACCTCTGAGAACTCTTGATCTTTTTTTATTACCCTTACTAATTTCTATATGCATAGAATTTCATCATAGGTTAATGCATATTTATTTTGCTGATTTTACATTACATGTATAGCTAGTTACACCTGTACTCATTTTTTGTCAGAAAGTATAGAAAGAACTCCTGGGTGACTCTGCCCTGTCTGTTTCAAGGTTTGAGGAGTCTTTCTTATCTTTTATCTTTTAGTGTGGAAATTTGCATTTTTTTTTTTTTTCTCTTAGCTAAGGTAATTTTATCAAGGCTGCATATTAACTAGACTAAACAGCATATTTAGCAAGCTTAAAGTGGTACATTTTACTTAAATCTAAATGGATTTCTACTCTGTTAAATTTTCACTCTGTCTCACTGCCAGAGGCAAAAAGGGAGAGTGTTTGGATGTGCTTGAAGTAGATCTGCAGTTTCTCTCTCCTGGCTTTGTGGCCAGGAATTCTTTCTCCTCTGGACAGCAGCTGGTTTGCTCCCAGCCCAGAGGTGTAGATTTTGTTGATGAAGCTTTTCAATTCAGCATTTTCTATTCAAGATATTAAAGTATTTTCTAGCTACAGGATTGTGGTTTTGGGAGCCAGTGTCTAATTTAATCTTGAAGCTACTGTGGAAAGAGGAAGGAAGAGGCTTTTACCAGAGAAAAACCAGCGTGTACAAAGGCAAAACCAGTAAAAATTTGCCAACAAAAAGATATCCTGAGTCCAAAGTGGCAAAACCTGTGCACCAGCATGACCAGGACTCAGCTGTTGCCAAGCAAATAGCAACCATTAATAATTTAAAATAACATTATACCTTAATAATATTCAAGGAGTTTTTAAATAATCCAAGAAACAAAACCCTTCAGCTGCAGTTCATGTTTAACTTTCCTCCTTGCGTTTTCTGCCTCTGCAGGGTGAGGTTGTTTTGCAGGGGATTTAAAACCACAAAGGGGATCTGTTCAGTTTTCCAGAGACAGATTAAAAGTGTATCAAACCTCACACCACTTCGAAGTTGAAAAGAAATTTTTAAAAACAACAACCAAAACAAACAAACAAATAAATCCCCACACACAACAAACCAGGAGTAAAAAATGCTGCTGCAAAAATGCTTCCAAATCCAATCCCTTTCATGGTGCAGCCCTGCTGCCCTGGGATTTCTGTTCGGAGCAGGGCAGGCAGTCCCTGCAGGGGAGTCTGTGTGTCCTGCACATCACCAGCTGCAGCCCAGTGGCTCCCTGGAGGGAATTCTGCCACGTAATGAGCTCCCCCCGTTCCCAGAGCTGCTGTCCTGGGGCTCCCAGCGAGCAGGAGGTGGCAGAGGCTGAGCTTTCCCTCTGCAGGCGTCCAGCCAGAGCCTCCAGAGCTGCCTGAGCCACTGACAGGGCTGGGGACATCCTCCTCCTCCTCCTCCTCAGGTGATGGACTAACAGGGAAACACAGCAAAATGAAGGTCAGTGTAAGTACTGGGTTCTTTTCTTTCTGCTGCTGTTGATTTAATGACTTTCCTGATTTCATTTGTAGTGGGTAGAGGGTAAAATCTGCATCTGGCAGGGTCTCTTTGCAATGTGTGTGTTCAGCTGATTTGCACATCACTAACAGAGCACACGGTCTTAATTTTAAAAATATAATCCAAATTAACCCTTTCTCAAGAACAGCAGTGTGGCTGAGGAGGGTGAGGGTTCCTTCTGTGTACATTGAGTAATAGCAAGTTTATTAAAAATGATCATGAGTGACTCAGACTGGTCACTTCCACATTCTCTTGGAAAAAAACGAGGTTAAGAGTTGAGCGGTGTATTACCTCAAAAGAGACGATGCTTTTGCATTGATTCCTAGAAAATGGGTAATGGAAATGTCTCGAGGAGTGAGGTCAGTGTGGGATGAGGAAAATGCCGAGCAATTTCAGTCTGAGCCTGGGAAAGCCTTTGCACTGGAGGTAAGGACTGGCCACATCCTGCAGTGCAAGCAGAAGGGCTCAGAGGAGGAAAGGAGTGCTCATTTTTAGGAAACACTCTTTTCTCCTGGAGCCAGGGGGATGAGCGATGGATCAAACCCATTTTGCAGCCGTTTGTCCCCGTTTTTGCGCCAGCCCCAGGCTGGGCTTTGTGCTGAGCAGGGCTGGGCTGTGACAAGGGACAGGCTCAGCGGGTCCCAGCTGATCCCTGGCAGCTGGGCAGGGACCAGGGCTGAGCTGTCACCATGTGTCCTGGGCTAATGACAGGCACCGAGCAGAGTCCAGCTGCTGCCTGGCCTGGGCACTCGCAGCAGGGATTAGCCCAGCTGGAAAACCCACCCTGCTCACAGAAACACAACAATTTCAGTGATATCCACTCAGAAACCATCCATTCCTCGGTTTATTCAATGCATTTCATTCATTTGTTCCCAAACACCACCTGTGCAGAGGGCAGGGTGAGGAGAAGGTTTTGGGGGATGACCAAGGCAGCCACAGAGCCCCAGGAAGCTGCAGCTCGGGGAGCTGTGCTGCTGCTGATTCTTGGTGAATCAAACCCCCAGCCTGCCACAGAATTCCTGAAAATTTCCATTTTTCAATGAAAAATGTGCCATTTGCTCCCGCCAAGCTTCCCTGGGGATGTTTTGCCTCATTCCCAGAGGGTGAGGACCCTGCTCTGAGAGTGCCCAGCTTGTACTCAGCAGGACTTTCTCTATCTGTAAAGGTAGTCAGGTGTAATTAAGACTGGAAAAGGTTTTAAAAAACCCTAAAGTGATTGGGTGCATGTAGGAAAAAGAAAGGTTTGAGGACCCAAACCCCAGGAATGCTCCCATAGGGAGTGTTGGGAGCAGCAGGAAGTGGCAGTTTATTTTCCCTTGAACTTGGGCATGAGAGCACTCCTCTAAAAATGCTCTGAGTGGGGTGAAATCCTGGCTGCACTTGCCCCTTCTGGTGATTTTAACACAGCTAAGATTTGATTGGCTTCATCTGTGGAGAAAAGAGAGTTT